GTTCCTTCCTAGACCTCCCAAACGGGGATTCCCATGTATTGTGCTGGAGGCTGCATGTTCCTAACAACCACAACTGAGACTGCTGTGGAACCCTCCAAAATCTTCTGGCAATCGCTTGCCTGCCAGACACTATATTAAAGGAAAAAAATAAAAATAAAAATAATCAGCTACTCAAAGAGTTGGAAAGTCTATTTCTCAACTCTTATCCACATTCTTTCTGTCATAATAGTCTCAGAGTAGGAATCACTCAACTGACTTCTGGACTTCTTGGTAGCATGAGCTTTTCTGACTTCAGAGAGATTTCTAGCAATAAGAAAACTGATTCAGTGTTTAGATATGCCCCCCCCACACACACTACCACCACATTTTTCCCAATATTTCTGGGACATATATTATAGTTTCAGGATAATTCTTGCCAAAGTTGGAGATGCATAAGTTGGCTTTAAAACACCTGTTGTGCAGCCAGCTTCTCAGTTTGCAGGTGAGAGTTTTCTTCGTGGACAGACTGTACAATGTCCATGTGCTCTTTCAATTTTCCACTCCATCCAGATAAATTGCAACAGCTGCCTCATTCCTGGAACTGGGGAGCTCATTTGGATATTTGACAGCTCAGGTTTTTTTGATCCCTAGGAAAACAAGCAAACAAAAAAATCTATAACAATATCCTAGCTCTCACATGAGGGCAGATAGTCTTCAGAGTGTTGGGTTTTTTTTTTTTTGTCAAGCTTACCTTCAATTTGTAGGATTCATTAGTGGACAAGTTAACCACCATATATAAGAACAACAAAAAAATAAGTATTCCTGTACACAAAGGCAGTTAATACGATATTCAAGGCACGAGTTTATATTTCTCCAGATGCCAGTAAGAAGTGTCAGATCTTGTTACATGGGCATACCCACCTTGTCTTTGGGGAGATGAAGTCCTTATTAATAGTATAGGAAGGAGACTATCATGAGAGGTACTTCCCTGAGTAAGCAGACCATGTTCTCAGGCAGCTGTTCTTGTTCTCTACTTTCTCCAGCCCTCTCTCTCCTATCACAGTAGACAGTTTCCTGTAATGAAAGGAGTTTGCCTCTATAAGCTCAGTTAAGCTATAGTCAACTGTGATCTCTACCTGCTATCTCCCACTAGTGGTAATCACGTATTCTCACACTCAGGTATCTTGAAATTCTTGAAGGGTAGGCTAAAGAACTTGGAAACTTGGAACTTGGAAGTCCCAGCTTGCCAGTGGGACTTAAATCTGGTGCTCAGGTCTCTCAGTATTTGACCTCTACATGGCCTGTCTGCATAGAGCACAGCTACATCCCTTGTATCAGAAGAATCTGAGACAGCGAGGCCTTTACAGCTGGTTTCCCATATGCAGTGTTCCTGGGGACCTATCCCAATTTCTTCCCAGTATGATTTCTGAATTTAATCTCAAACAGCAGATAATAATTTTGCTATTCTCAAGACTGTGATTTCAAGGGATAAAACTGTCTTCCACACCTCCATCATTAGGAGAACGTTCTCTTCTCATGTTGACAGAAGCAGATCCTTTTCACATGAACAGCTGTCAGACCCAAAGGAGCAGAGGCTGTTAAAATGGGTAGCTATGAACTGTCAAAGCCTATTACAAGACTTAGTCACCATCAGAGCACAAATCACAGTGGCTCTACAGAAGTTTTCTCACTCCTGACATCTAAGGGTTGACCACCTGGAACATGCTCCATACCTTTTGGTAGGCATTATGCCACTGGAGAGAGGCCCGGGTTTGATGTGACATCTGGTAGGGTGGTGCTGAGGTTGTTTGGAGATTACTGATCTCCAGGTGAAAACTAATAAGCTGGGTTTTTGTCTAGCGTCAGCCACTGTGTGAATGCATATATGGACTCAAAGACAAGAAAAGAGGTTATTTACCAGTAGCTGGTGTCCTTCCTTAAATCTCATCCATTGAGACTCATGCACTGAACATGAGGTGAGAACACGCCCTCTGCAGCTGCTGCTCAGACAAACATTCTCCAAACCAGGAGCGACCAGGCAAACATACATCCAGGGTGGGCGGTGCAGTGGCCTCTGCGTCTCAGTTCCTGGGAGATAGTCTGTCAGTGTTAAGATGCTATCCACTGCTTTCTGAAGTTCTTGTTCTTGCCCTTTCTCTTTTGAAAACTAAGATGATAGGGCTTTTTGTTTTCAAAACGTTAAATAGTTTTTAATGTCATACAAAGGCTTCCTATATAATAGGCACCAGATAGACATTTACAAGTGACATACATAACACACTTCCATTTGTGAAATAGCTCATGAGCAATGCATTCTAACAGTGTCCTATCAACAAACATATTATCAAATCCAACATTTTCCCCTCAAAAGGTACAGAACGTCCAGTCCAGGCACTCCTGACACAACGTAAAAACAAGTCCGCTCATTCTCAAGAGACATAAAACAAACCACAGAAAACAGATGCTCTAGAGGAAGTTTGAGAGTGCTGCCCACCGAGGGCTGCCAAAGTCTCTGCCCAGGTGCTGTACCCCTGCAGAGGAGAACAAGTTCTTGTATTTATTGTTTTGGTCAGTACTTCTCATTTCTGTGCCTTGTTAAATCACAATTTCTTGGCACTGCATCTTGCCTTAGTTAATAAACTTTAATAAAATTAGGGCTAAACATGTATTTGCATTAAAAAATATATAGCTATTTATAAATGAAGAGAAGAGAGGGGTAAGGTGGTGATGCCAAAAAAATGATCACTGTGGACAGATCAAATTGTGATAAGCATACGATATTTTGGAATCACAGTATCACCTACTCCAGACTTTAAAAGATCACGTGTCTGTCCCCAGAATCAAGGAATTCAAAATATTAACTCTATTTTTTTTATTCGTTAACATCTCAAGCTTTCGTGTGCTACAAGGAAAACGAATTCTCAATGCACTGTTTTTAGGGGGAGTAGTTTAAGAAAAATCTGCAATTCTCAACAAATAACATAATTGCCAGGGGTGAGGCTTTACAACGCATTTTGTTTGATTAGGTCCGTCTTACCTGGCTGCCCAGACTGCTGTATATGACTGCTCTTCCTTGTATCGCCTTATCTTTATCTGTAAATTTCATTCACAGTGATCTTATACTTACTTTCAGATCACTGATGAAAATAGTGAACAGCATCAGGTAGCTGTGGAGCTTTGCTAGAAACATCCACAGGCAGGGATCATTCCCCAGTTACTCTTTGAGAAGTCTTATTCACAGAATACCCCTTAGTGGGGTTTGTATATAGCTCTTTTTAAAGAAAACAGAATGGAATACTAAGTCAAATGCCTTACTGCAGTATAAATAGGTTACATATATGCAGCCACCTTTATCAGCCAAACTGTAATCCCCCCGAAGAACAAAATCAGGCTTGTTTCACCATACCTGTTGTTCTCTAAAACTCACTGTCTGGAATTATTTTTTTTTTTCTGTCCTTTGAAACCTTTGTCAGTTGTATCTTATCTTAGTTTTTCCCATGATTTTTCCTGGGACTGAGGTCAGTTTCACTGGCTTAGGGTGACTCTGCGTGCTGGCACATTAGCGCTCTTCCAGTCTTGTAGAATTTCCCTGCTATTCCGAGGATGGTTAAAAATTAACATGAGTCGGCCAGAGGTCTCCTCAGCCAGTTTTCGGGTCTCTAGGATGCATGTTCTCCAGCCCTGCTGATTTAAAAATAATGATTGCTAGCTGATGCTATTTAGTTACTGAATGGACTGAAAGGAAAACATCCCATTGTGGTAAGAGGAGTTTGTCTTGCTTCTGTCAAACAGAGAGATGAAATCTCTCTTGAGGATGCTTGCATCATATCACAGAAAACCCCAAACCTGCTTGCCTCCATTCTGTGGTGAGCCTGTTGCTGTGACTTTTCATAGGTTTCCACATTTGTTTAGCTACAGAAACGAACAGGGCTCTTAGTCATAGAGGCCTTCTTTCTTGTGTGTGAATCCGTGGCTCCAGAGCATTACTAAGTCTTTTCAAAAAATTTCCCTTTTTTCCCCCATTTTTTGGTTACACTTTTCTTCCCAGTCAGTGTAATTTTGCTCCTGATCTTTGAGGCCCCAAGGACATATGTCACCAGTTAGGACCGTCCTGTATTTAGCCACATTTAATGGAATCTACCACTTTTAGGCCAGGACTGATCTGCTTTTTAAAGATGAAGTTTGGGAAACTGCTGAGAGAGTGGCTCTGGCAGCAGGAGGCAGGGTGCACTCTGCTGCTTTCATATCATCACTTCCTCTACCTACCACTAACTTGTATTTTCAGCAGAACTGCACCATCTGAGATCTTTGTATTATTATTATTTGTACACTCAGAATTTCCTGCTATCCTAGTCCTACTCCTTTTTTATCTGTCCCATTTTCCTGCTCAGATCCCCATCCCCTCCTTAGAGCTTTGTGTTGCCTTTCCCCAACATCAGTGTTAGAGAATCTCTCCCAAATACCATGCATTTCTCTTGTTCTTGCCCCCAGTGTAGGTGGCTTTGCCCCTTGTACATGCATACAGACATCACTCCTATCCCCCTTCTCTTTCCCAGGAACATCCATGAAAGTGCCCTTCATCCTCATTATACAGCAATTCAAAGCAAAGTGTCCAGTTTCCTCTTTAAAAACCCAGCTAAAGAACTGTGCTTAAGGGCTGGACTAAAGGTCCCAACTTGGGGGGCCATGAGGGAGGCACCAAATATAGCCCATAGCTCAAAGTTTTGCTCTTGGTCATACCCTTTTTCCAAGTAAAAGCATAATTCTCTTGATCGATAAAGAGGACTGAAGTCCAAAAGCACCTCTCATGCTGGATTCAATGCCTTTTGTTGTTAGGAGAACCAGCTTCTATATTTTTTTAAACTTTAATAATGTACCTGCTTATGAAACTGCTGGTATCTGTCTTCCAAATGGAGGTCCCCAATAATGGTATGCTTTTTTCCTTCCACGCATTGCAGACAGGTGATTGCAAGGAACCAAGTAGAAGAAAGCAGCTCCAATGGTGAACAGCCTCACTGCGATGATCTCAGTAGCCCAGACTCAGATTTGATTGCTCCTGAAATACCTAACTCCCTCTCAGATGAAACTGGCATTCATGGAAGTATCTCAGCCTGAGTTAAAATTGGAACAGATTAAATACTAACAGCAGTACAGTCCTCTCCACTACAGAGAAAAGATCAATACTGTGACTACCTATTAAACACTGATGCTGCAAAGCTGAATTAGTTCATAAAAGAAGAAAAATGTCTTTCAAAGGCCAGAATTGAAAAATCCTGGACACATAAAAGGAAATCCTAACAGTCATATTTGAGCAACATTGCTGGAGTTGCCTAATTAGAGCAATGCAGATCTTGATGATGATGACTCCAAAATTTCTCTCGTTTAAGTAAAGATTCAGACTCAAACTCCTCTCTCAGTTACGCAGAGAGTGGTCTCAGTTATGCCAGCTGAGTGTTTCTCATTTACACTCATTTGACTGAGAGCAGATTTACTTCCTCCAGCAGAAAGTGCAGAAATACCAGTCATGCCCCAAGTCCTGTAAAGAGTTTTGTTTTGCTTACCTAAGAGTCCTGTTATCCTCAGGGGTGTCTCTGCAGAATCACAATGTTCACTGAGTTTTCTTAACTGTGAAAGAAAACAATGCCACATTGATCATATTGGATGGGCAGCATAACCAATACTGTTTAAACATCATGAGAGCCACTGTGACTCTCAGTGTAAGTCATTTATTTCTGGCTCTGTCCTCAGGTCACCCTCTCATGGTCAACTGCATCTTCATGATATTCCACTTACTGCAAAATAAACAACAATGTCAATGCAACATCAACCATCAACCTTTGCTTTAAGAAGAGTTATGTCTTCCTTCTCCAAACTAAAAGCTCAGCACTTCCCTCAAGGATAGAATATGCTTTTTTTTTTTTTTTCCTATTGCAAAAACATATTTGGCTTACTTAAAATTTATTAAAACTTTATTTAGCTAAAACAGCCTTTAAATGCTAATGGAAGCACTGATTAACTCAGGTGAGTGTGTCTTAATGAATAAAGTCATTAGCCTTTCCTACTGCCAGAAAATACAGGGTTTTGCTAGTATAATCAATCACCCTTAGCCACCACTTTGAAATGGTAGGTGGAAAAGAAACTTGTTAATATTGAACGTTCTTGAAATGGTACCTGCCAGTTACCCAGGCATTAGAGAGAAGCGTGTTTACCATCTTTCATATAAAAGGGAGATGCTGTTAAAAACTCAAAAGCAGCATTGCATTTCTGCACGAGTTGCCTGCTTTTAAATGGGGTTGAAAAACCGTCTTACAGAAGCTTTTGGAGGGGATGGAGAGGGCCTGTTTAGCCCTGCCTCCTGGAGCAGGGCAGAAAGTGCCACTCACACTCTCTCCTCACCCAGGGACCTCTGCTCTCTCCACCTCTCCTTGCCTGTGGAGCACTACCAAAGCCAGGCAGAGGCAGATGAAGGTCCATGCATGAGAGAGTGAGGAACCATTAGCGCTTCAGTAACCACAACTCTGGGGCTACAGAGTCTGCAAACTGACTACTGTTGGTGTTAGGCCTGAAAGCCTATCAAGGCTTAAAGTCCATAGAGTGAGACTGAGTCGTGGACAGATGAAAATGAGGGAAAGCTGCAGGAGCTGAAGAGGCAACGTGGACAGAAAAATATCAAAAAGCCAAAATTTCCCATCAGTCAACTCAAATGGCCACACCTGCCTTTCCCTTCCCTCGAATACGTTTACCCTTTTCTAGAGCTGAGGTAGCGCCCACAAGAGACACGAATCAACTTTTCGTGGCAAAATCCTGACTGTGTTCTACTTAACAACAAAACTCCACTGTGTTCGAAGGGGAGAGAATTTCTCCCTCATTGGCACTAGTCGTCCCACAGCAAGTTGCGCCTCCCCGTAACCCCAGTGGAACAAAAAGAGTCCTGAAGAGAGCCCAAAGGAGACCTCATCATCTCAGCCCGTTCTCCTCAAGGCCACACCAACTACACTTCAGTCATTCCTGTCATGCTTCTCTACCCTGATCTAAAAAACCTCTCCAGCAACAAGGCTGTGCAGCCCCCTGCGTGGCCTGCTTCCACATCCTCCTCCCTGGCTAATGGCAGACTCTCACCTTGTTTCAAGAACCTATTTTCTAGAAATGGATTCTAAGGGGATTTCTGAAACATGTTAATACTCCCATTCATAACCACTAGTGTTCTTTTATTAGTTGCATTGGAACATGATTCAAAGTGCATAGCCACTAACAAGACTTTTTATGTCCTTTACAATTATCTGGAACTGTTCACAATAGCTTAGGAGTCAAAAAGTAGATTACTACTACTATTTTTTAAAGGCAAAACAGAAAGTAACTTGCAGGCAAAACAAACCAACCATGGAGAGCATACAATATGAAGTGTATAAACAGTAATAAATAATGTGCAAAACACAAGCTTATCTTATAACATCTAACTCGGGAGGAGGGGAGCGTGGGGAAAGTGCATTTTCTTCCATGACATTTAAATATATATCCATTTCAAGGCATTTCCTGTACTCTGCTCTTCCCAGTGGGTACTTTATTTCCCCCTGCCCCCAGGCTCCTCTGTTTACATACACTGCTCCTACCCCTGTAGTCTGTGGGATTCATGGACTATCAAATTGCTGCACCCATCAGTTGCCAAAGGAGACCCAAATAAGCACATGCAGCTAGTTCAAAGACAAAGTTGACTTCCATAAAAACGTTACCTCTCAAATGCCTCTCTCACAAATGCTGCCTCTTTCTGCCATAGCTCTGCTACGTAAAGTCCTTTTCTGCTAACATGTCGGATGCGTCCTCACCTGAAAACCAGCAGCCCGCCACAGGGCCAAGCCCTCCTGAGATCCACTGCAAACCCTGAGAAGCCCCAACCCCCAACTCAAAACTGCAAGTATGTTCTATGCACCGTGTACAACAGGAACGCGTAACCTTTAAAAAAGGCCTGTCCCTATACTCACTTCTGTGAGGGCAGGCTGCTGGGTCTACTGCGGAGTTCTCTGGAGTTTTAGCCATGTGATTCTCATCATAAGAACAGCATCTCCCCGGGAGCATCTCCCTAGCATTTTCCCTGGGAAATATGCTCAGGAGGACCCTGCTTGAGCAGCAGGGAGGTTGGACTAGATGATCTCCAGAGGTCCCGTCCAACCTCAACCTTCTGTGATTCTGTGATCAAAGTGAATACTTTGTATTAAATCATATAAACTTATTGTTTGAAAGCCTAAGTCCATATATGGGGCACAAATCCTTTCAACAATTTATTTTAGGTACTCAAGTTTAATTTCTTAAAATAATGACTCTCCATCTATTTAAATTATTCAAATGAATTGTTAATATGTTGGCATTAATTCACACACACAAATCATCTATGGTTTTTAAAGATATTTGACCATTATTTCCAGAATTGCTTCATAATAATCTTTTAATTACCACATTACTAGAATATATTGAAGCTCACAGAGGCAGTGAGATTAAATCTTATTTGTAAAGTTCCCACATGCAGAGCTACATTCCCTCTACTGATAAGCACATATGAACTGATATGACAGGCTAGTAGCATTGTCAGCTTATTTGCGTTTTTTTTTCTCGCCGTTTCCAAAACTACCATAAAAAAGAGGAAGAAAACACGTATCTGAACAATCCGCTCCTCCAACCCTGAATACTTTGATAACGGTGATGTTAGAGAGACTAATAAAATACTAAAAGCCAGGGAGAAAATACCCACTACTTGGCCTTTTAGAATATTTAAGGCCATCAGAACCCCACTTCAGCATGCAAAACACTTAGGGGGATTCACATGTAATTAGTCAGGGTTTGCATGTGCCATTGCAAGGAAAGCAGACCAACACATATGACTAGCCGTGTGTAGTCACAGTCGCCTCATACTGCTTTTTTATTCTGTAGCATCCTGTATTGCGTTAGCTAAAGCGCATTATAAACATGGCAATTATCTTCCTTATTTTTAGCAGTGATAAAACTACTTTCAGAAATCACTATTTCTATCTACAGAAGGAAGCATCAAGGTGTGCGAAGACCTGTTTGAGCACACGTATTTTAGCATGCCTGCTTGCACCTGATGCCCCTGATTCCAGATACGGATCTCACTCATGAATCGCTCTTCCATCTGGTCAAGCTTCAACAAACAAATTCCACTCCTGAAGGTACCACAGTTACAAAAATATTTATTTTTTTAAATGAACATAGCCAAAGGGCATGTGAAAGGGTATTACAAGGCACATAGGTACACCCCTAAATACGTTCTGAGCTTGCAACTTGCTGTACAGTCTCTTTTTGTTACTTACTAAGTAGTTGAAAAGGAATTTGAAGGAGCCAGGTCCCAAGAGAAAAGTACTTCTGCTTTACAGTCTCCCTGTTGTTTGAAACATTTCCATTTCTTTTATTCTCCACATTTCTTCTACTCTCTCAAGCAAGTCATACTATAAACCACTGTGGATGTGACCAGTCCCCTTAAGGCAGCTGAACAATTCTTGGCCACTGCCTTCTGTTTCTTGGCTCTCCTTTGGTTTAATTTTGCTTTTCTTGTTTTTTTTTTTTTTTTTTTTTTTAAAGGAAGTAAATTCCATTTTTTTCACTGGAAAGAAAATTTCTTGATATGTCACGCTCTAGGGATTTTATATCAATATTATACAACAATTCAGCCTCTAATGGCCTTGAAGCTTGTTCAATAAATTTTTTTTTGATTTTTAAATAATCTCTTCAGATAGATATTAAGGCGTTCTTGAAGACAAGAATATTTACATGTAGAAGCATGTCTTATTAATTGCATCTCACGTTCTTTTATTAAAAAACATACACATTATATAAGTATCACAAGGAGTCTGCATTTCTGATTTTTTCTCCAGTATAGAATTTGTACAAAGTACCTAGACACAACACATATTCATGAATCAGTTTAATAAATCCTATTTTACATTTCAAAAGTTCAAGTTCAGGCTCTGCATGTTTGCATCTTTGGAATGGTATGTTAAACTGCCCTCAAGGCAGTGTTCAAGAAATATTTATCAGAGTTCACAGAGAATTTCCAACAAAAAATATGTATAATCAATCAGCAGCAAGTCATTTGCATTTTATTCCATCTCCTATCCTTTCAGAGTGAAGAGATTTTTGCTGCAAGTATGTTTCAGCACTGATGATGTTCAGTTGTTTTTTTTTTAATTCAAAACCAGAAAAGACAGAATAAAACCAAAACATCTCTGATATAGATGCTTTCAAAAGCAATTTAATTTAAAAACAAGAACCACAGACCATCCTAATTCCAATGTTCACAGTCTTCTATTCATACTGGTTTTGCTATCACGTACCATGAAAGAAACAGAGTTCTTCAAGAAATAGTACATCATCATGGCTAAACCCCTGAATACTTGTTCTTTGCACTTCATACCAAGTTGTGGTGAAGTACTGCAGTTTTTTTTTTCTCCTCAATCTTAAGTTGGGGAGATGATGGATTTTAACTACATGGGGACTGAAATAGAGTCCAGAGGCAATACACTGATCAGTCTTTTTTGGTTCTTCATGAAATAAAAATATCTGTAATAAAAATGATATAACTAATATTCAGTGTCCCATAATGCTCATTTCAAGAAAAGGGAAATTATGGCTTTAATATTCCACTGAGAGATGATGAATACAAGTCTCTCCATCTGAGTTTGCACATAGTAATAAAATATTGATCTTTATGACAAAACAAGTTAGGTTCGTCTGGAGCACAGTTCAAGAGGATTTCATGACTCGCAGCAATGATGGCATACCATATAACATTAAAGATCAAGTGTCAGCCCAGTGACTTAATTCCCCAATGCAGCTAAGTAAAGGGTTTTACAAAGAGACATAATAGTTTCTTCTCCCTGTTTACGGGTTTCCATGTCACCATCATTTAATTTATCATCTGTGCTGCTGTAGATCAATTTGACATGGGTTATTAACATATCTGGCTCCTGTGCTCCAAGCCATATGTCTCCAATGTAAACAGAAGTCAGGAACACACAAACAGCTGTGGAATAAAAATTAGAGAAGAGGCATCAGAACAGATATTCTTCCATTTCCATACGGAAACACAAAAATAAGCTATTTTACCAAATACCCTTCCAGAACTGTGTTTTAAACTGGCTTCCTAATTATTTTCCCTAGATGGAAGATCTGAGCATTTTTTGTTCATATCAAGCCAATGATCTACCCCAAACTAACAACAAAAAAAGTTCCATCTTCACAGAGCTTTCCAACATCTTCAAATAAAATGGTTTGAAACCTGACCAGTGGCTTTTGCTATCAAATGATAACACTGAATAGAGCAGATTAGAACCCACACATGGACTTAACTGTTGCAGATAACTTTTTTTCCCTTTGGTTACATTTTATATATCTCAGTGAGCCCTTTTTCATCTTAGACAGGAAACTTTCTTTTAGGGAGTATGACTGTTTCACTACCAGAAATTCCTATTCTGCCACCATATGCAGCTCTACAAACCCATGCATCTGTATCACCAGAAACACAGCTTTCTTTTTCTGAATTGATAATCACCAAAAGACAAATATGAGACTGTTTTGATGAAATTAAAATATGTAACTACCTTCCTTCTGTCATTAGCACCTCTGCCTTGTAACAAGACTGATAAAGAAAAGATCAGTTACCTTTCTTGTTCTCATCCTCTTCTGTCATTGCTGACAGGCACAATGTTTTCACAAGTTCATGAAAGCTGTTGTTAGTCAGGCCCTGAGCATCCATCAGGTGAAGCATGATTGAACTAAACAAACAGAGCTCGCTCAAGTGACCAGCTGTCCCATTGTTGGCCTCACAGATACGGGTGTAAAACTTGAAGATGTTGTTTCTTAATGTAGCCTCCCCAAGAATCTGCTGCACTGCCTCAGGGTGTGGTAAAATGCATTTCTGTAGCCACCGCAGAGTTAATAAAACATTTTGCATATTGAGGCTATGCTCAGCCATGGACTTTATGAGCCATTTAGTTACTATGCAAGTGCACGCACAGGTAAGACTGACTGTTTCATCTTCAAGGTCCATAGATCTGAGGGGCTCCTCTGGACGTTTGGTAGGCAGGGCTGGGAAAATAGGCTCCCAATATGCAAATATGGAATTCAGATGCTCTCTGCACTTCTCCAGCTCAGATGCTTTCAGGTTTGCGTCAGTGTCATCTTCTCTCTCTAGCTCATTTTTTTTCCGAATGTGATGATATGCATGAAATGAGGCTTGAGACTTGTTCTTTTCTTTTATATTTTCTGTAAGAAGAAAAATAACAGCAAAAAAAAATCCGGTACTTCAAAGCATTTTCTTTGTACAAAATCATGCAGCAAAGATGGCATCACACATTGCTTTAGCTGCTAAGAGGATAAGTACTGGCCTCATTTAGCAGCCTAATAAAGTCCATGTAATTCAGAGTGAATCAGAATCAGCTACAGTCTCTAGTAACTCTCAGGCTGGAACACCTTTCTGAACTGGACCTCCTAACCCTGAAGTGAACAATAATGCTGTCCAGGCCCTGACCCAAAGCACAGTGAAGCCAAGGCAGTATTTTACAGGTCCACAAGATGCAGTTTCACTAGTAAGGCTACATTATTTACACAGGTAGTGAGAAATTTTCAGACCACTATTGTTTGGGCTGGCAGAGGCATAGTACACACCTCCTTACAGAAGGAGATATCAGCATAGCTACACTGCTTTTAAATGACACAAGCTAAAGCAGTAAAGACGGCCTTCCTTCAGCACCGCTGCACCCTAGTTGAGAGTGTCGCTGCAAAGGTGATGTCAATCAAGGGCATGTGAATTTTTCACACCACAGGTGAACTGCTAGGCCAGCTCAACTTTATAATGCGGAGCTGCCCTCAGTTAGATGCTGCTTGTGTCATGGGAGCAGCAAACCTCCCAAAAAGCAATGGCATTATATTCTACCACCACCATATTGAGCAGAGTGTTTTATAGCAATCTATTTTTGAAGAGTCACTGAGAAAATCATTACAAGCTTCAATTATGTTGCGCTCCTGCGACAAGGAACAACTGGAACGGCAGCTTTTTTTTTTTTTTTAAACTATCAATACAGTAAATTATAGATGTTGCTACAGTAACTCTCTAAAAATCCTCAAACACATTAAAAGAACGTGGAAAACTTTAGAAAAAAACTAAAGCTTTTATAGTACATCCCTTAAATACAGTGATCCTTTAACAATTAGTTTAACTGATTCAGAACAGCAAAATAAACTTATTGAAGGTTATAATGTGCGCTAAGAACAGTTAGACTTGCGAGAAAGCAACATTGCTTAACACCTCTTACTACAAATTTCCTTATACATTTTATTTACAGGGATTACTCAACAAGACAGAAGTCATACAGGTCTAAATTTTTTTTGTTTTTTCTTCCAACAGTAACAAAAAAAATAAACTCTATTTCTTGCTTTACTGCCAATTTTTACTCAAGTTTCACTTTCAGATCTCCATTCACACTCAGAATGGTTCAAGGCTTTGAGCACAAAGCCTCCAAACACCGGGTTTTTTTTGTTTTTTTTTTTGTTTTTTGAGAATACAATTTTAAAGCCTGCTGCTAGATCTGTAACTAAGTTTTATTTTAAGGCTCTGTATTTCTCCAAAGCTTCCAGAATTGTGTTAAAGTTAAAAATCATCACTTCAATAAAGACCTGAAAAAGCACTTTCCATTCATTCCTCCTCCCCCAAGCTACAGCAGATTGTCTCACAAAAGATATTAACACTTTTTTCTAAGAAGTTCGCCTCACTTTTATGGTTAGCCTATCACAGCTTCAATAATATTACTTCTCTTAAGCAAATATTTTTAGCACTTACTAAGTAATTCTTTGATTTGGTATTTTTGAGCAAGACTCTGCACATTATCTTGAACCTGCAGGTCTCTTTCAACGATGCTCCACTTATGCAACAGCAGCAGGATCTCTTTGTTTGAGAGAACACTGTCATTCACAGTGAACCGGCTCATTTCTTTGAAGGCCTCAACAACTATAGCACGATATCCCAGCACAGAATCCAGTGTACTGAAAAACTGAGTCAGTTTGGCCAGATCTAAAGTAGTCCTATTAAAATAAGAAAAACAATGTCAAAAATTAACTCACGTGTTTTTTTTCCTGCATCCTAATTAATAAAATAAGTACATTTTTCTTCTCCTTACAGTTCTCTAGACATAGAGATTTGTTTCACAGGATGCCACTGAATTAATTTCATTACCATTGAATCCTCAGTGCATCATTCCACTAGTGTTTGGCAGAACAAACAATGTAATATAGCCTTTGCCTCCCACTAGTAAAGGCCAAGGGCAGATGAAGCACAAAAAAGGGGTCAGAGGTCTGGAGCTTTAGCTACACTTCTTCATTTTGCCTGAACTGTAGTAACTTTGAGGAGGAAAAAGATAAACGTAGCTTCTCCAGACTGTGGCAATCCTTGTCCGCATCAAGAGCTGCCCATGCTATTATAAACCCAAACAGAACTGGTTACCCGTTTGCTCATTACTATTACTTCAACTGCTCTCTGCCACTGCTGCATTTAGACAGGTTAACTGTGTTACATAAGGACAGAAGAGACTGAGCCCTTATTTAACACGTTCATATAGAACTTTGCACAATTACTCCTTGTACAATTTGTATGCATGGCTCAGACACAGAAAGAGCCTAAAGCTTTGGGGAGCATGTCAAATCCTTGCAGCAAATAGCATTGCTGACCACAGGCTCTAATCCAGAAGGAAAAAAAAGTAATACATATCATAGCAGCTTAAAAACAGTCAATAGTTAAGCATGTGCAACTTGACACTAACTGTGTATCAGCTGTCCTGTTATTTCCAATATATTTAAACAGCTAAATCTTCCTGTCAAAGAAAACTCATCAAGATTCACCAGTCAACATTCATACTGAAGGGTGGGGGGGGAGCATTAAATTATCAGAGATGGAGACATTCTTCTGTCCTTAGTAAATTTCAAACAGGACAGAGGATGACCTGCAAATTGATTTTAAAAAAAGGCTTACCGAATGTGTTTGACTAATGCGATCAAAACATACAGAAATTCATTTATAAGCTGAATAGGAAGAAACTTCCTGTTCTCCTGGAGATCTTTCCTGCTTTCTCTCTTGCCTCCTAAATTTGTAACCCACAGAGCATGGACTAAGGAAATGATTTTATGTAACATCCTATTTTCCAAAAACCTGAAAAACAAAACAAAGGAACACGTACCCACATAAAAGGCAGATCCTAGTCATGAACCCATCCATCTTCAATAGGGGGCCATACTCTAGTGCACGTTTGGAGCTGTGAACGGCAGCGGGTGCCTTACAGCCAGGTACCTCCTCATCCCATCAGGGCACAGGAGTGTACCCCTTCAAAGCACCAGGTTACCGCCCTCCCCCAGAGAACAACCAGCACCTCCTGCCCAGCTACCACCCTGTGGGTACAGAAACACAGTACTGCATCACAGCTCCTGCATGAGACTAGTGACTGCTAATTCAATTCTTTCATTACCTGTGAATAGCTTTCCAAAGCAATCCATTAAATTGCAAACATCACCATCATTTCTTTAGAGCAATTACTGTTCAAGATAGCTTGCTCCCTTTACAGTTTAGAATTGCTGATGTTGGTAAGACTTCACTTAATAACAGTAACACTTACAGTTCAGTATTGGGAGCCATATTTACTTTGTTATTCAATGAAAAGAAAAATCAATCATGATTTTGCACAGAGGATGTAAGAAAAATTCTCCTCAGAAGTCTGATCACAAAAAAAACATTGGGTGTCACAGCCAAACCCAGGCTTTTTCATTTCCAAATGGGTGTAAAAAAGGCGCACAGTAGGGGAGCATTATTTGTCCCTACTCTCAGCTCTCGGAACTGTGCGCGCTCTGTTGTTCCCACTGTGGGGTGCTCACTGGGAACCTGTTCAGACTTTTCACAATGCAGAATTCTGACACCTTGCTTGGATCTGTCAGGAAAAAATCTATGGAAGACATCTGTGTGTGTACGGACGTATGTATATTGAGGGAGAGGCAAGAGGAAGAAGAAGGAATGGGAGGAGGAATATTATAGCCAGCTCAAATTCATTATCATGCCAAGTTCTTTGTAGGAAACCCTATCACAGGATGCGGACTGTGGGTATAAAAATGCAAGGTGCACAAACTAAAACAAGGTGCTATTTTGTTTTCTAAGTTTTTCAAGAAATCATAATCAAACACATGACCCCTGACCCCCCCAACAACAACCCTCCTACTACAACCTTAAAGCACCTAGATTTTGTTTTTAGAAATATTAGGGCACACTTTAGAGCTGGGCAAGTCCTGCCAGTACAGCAGATAGGTGCCAACTATCACAACTGCTGACAGGCCATCTCTATATCTGTACCCTTGTTTCCATAGTCCATTGCATAATTATTTCTCATGTGCAGACAGAAGCGTTGTTCCCATTTCACCAATATTTCCCTTGTCACCTTTTCTCTAAGATATGCAGTATCCAGGTTAAGAGACTGTGGTCTTGTATCAGTTCATAGGCAGCTTTGGTGACACGGGCAGCATTTTGTAATATCTCCAGAATGTGATTCTGAAACAGAAAATACAATTTGTTCTTTCACAAAATTAGAATATAGTCAGGATCTAATTACTATCAATCTTTCAGAAGGATATAATTAGCAATCTGACTGTAACCGGAATCTAATCAAAGAAAAGGTAAAACATATTACCAAACATGATATGTTCTTAGCAACCCTAGGGAGCAAAAGATACTCTCTTTTCAAAGCTTTACACATGCACAGACACTACTAAAAAGACAAATTCTTTAGGTAGCAAGACAATTTTCTGTCTTTAGCCAAGATTTTGACACCTAATTGAGACACAGCAAAGAGATTAGATTTCCCAGGGTGGAAGCTCATGAACGTGAAGGTTTCTGGCTAGTGAACTGTTCTTCCTAATAAGCACTGTACATGTAACATGCTGGAGAGGCAACAAACAGACCTAAAAAAAAGCAAAGGCCCTGACCACACGTGCAAAACTGCTGTTTCTGCAATATTTTCAATGAAGCAGTGGAAATGACACCGCAGAGCCAGACCATCAGATGATGAACGTGTGTGAAGCTTCCTGATGGCAGCGACCCATCCTAATTTCAGTGGTGAAGAACGTGACCCACTGACTTGATACAATAGATATTTTCCCTATCCCCACATACATAATCAACAAGGAACAGATTTCAAGAGGGAGAGGGAAGAGTCAACTGCTCCTTTCTGCTTTTTATGTATTTAAGATCTCCAAATCATAGCATTTTTTGTTTGTTTGCTTAAATACCTACCTGAGAGCCCTCATCACACAGGGGACTGTTGAAAAAGGAAAGAATGACATGGAAAATCCTTTGGTAGTCATAAAGTTGATAGCAGTATTTGTCACGCAGCCCTTCTCCAAGGAGCCTAAGAACCCATTCACGTTCTGTTTTGTGCTAGAACCCACAAAAATACTATTGTCAAAACATTTCAATGTAACGCACGCACAACAAACTGATTTCCTGGGAGCAGCAGCACAGCACTCAACAGCTTCTTCCAGACTTCTCAGGCTTTTTTCCTTATCAAATTTAATCGATAACAAAATACATCAGGATCAGTTGCTCTGCAGCCTAAATATGCTCTGATAATGGAACTTAAAAGGTTGCTATTTCTAAAACACTTCAGTTGAATTCAACTTTACTATCCTAAACTCAAACATGAATGTAAACTAGCTGGGACAGAAGATTGCTTGCTGTGCTTATATACATTACATGCAGCACACCTCGTTATTAGAACTCCCCCAAAAAAGAGAATACTTCAAATTCAAATATAAAACAAAACAAAGATAGCTCTGATTAATTACCCATAGAAGAATAAGATATGATTGTATTTTTATGGCTTTTTTCTATTTTTTTCCTGAAGAATTACTGAATACCTATGATGTGATTCTTACATTACCTCCAAATCAAAGCTGTAGAAAAGCTGGAAAAACCCTGGTACTTTCCTCAGGTCCAAAAACTGGTGTGATAGAAGGAATCTGTTTATCTTTGTGTACATGTGCTCCTCTGTGAAGGGAAACAGTGGTTACTGTGGAGGAGGATAATGACCACAAAACAACCACAGTGGAAAATAAGCAAACAGATAAATGGAACCTGTACTTTCCAGTGTCTCAGCTAGTTGTCTGAACAATTCATTTATGACAGAGAGAAGGCTTTGTGCTATAAGGCCAATTATATCACTGGCCATTATTCTCTTCCCCCAAAATGAAAAGCTCATTCAGTGAGCGCCCAAAGCAGGTGATAAGATGAACATCCAATACAGCTCAGGTTTCAGCAAAGCAAAGGCATCTTACTTCATTCAAAAATAGAAGCCTGCTGCAAAGCTAAGGGACAAACTTGAGTGGGGTTAGGGGACTTCAAGAGGAAATTCAAATTCAGAAGCATTTTCTCAGAGCCGCTAAAGTTTGGTCAGGCATCTTTCCAAGGGCAAACCATGTATCTGACTAGAGCCTGCCTCACAGACATTTTCAATCCAGTCCTATGCACGTTCATAATCACCTCATATCCCTGAGGTAGCAGTTGTAACTCATGAAATAGGTAAATAACATGGAAATTGTTACTGAACAAATGGGAGAGGTAGCATCACATGCCACACCAATGCTTCACAGACAAATGTGTTTAAAGGCCAAAACTTCAGGTGTAGTTACCCATGCAAACCTCCCAGAGGGCTTGTACATGACACATAAAACATCGTGCAAGGACGAAGGAGACAAAAGGCATAAGCTGAAACAAGAGGAGTTCAGACTAGGCATAAGGAAAACCTTTTTCCCCACGAGGACAGGCAGGCAGCAGAACCAGTTGCCCAGAGGTACTGTACTGTCCCCACGCTTGGAGGTTTTCTGAGATCAGTCTGGATAAGGCCCCGAGCAGCCCGGTCTGGCCTCATAGCTGCTCCTGCTTTGTTCAGGGGGGTCTAACCACAGACTTCACAAGGTTCCTTCCAACCTGAATTATTCCCCAATTCTATGATTCTCCTTCACAACAGTGATTTACATCAATTCAGTGTCTAAGGACAAAAGGTCACTCAGGCCAACCTACTCTTATCTGCCTAACAGGACCCACAGTTTCACTCAGCTAGTCCTCTACTCAACTCTACCCCAAAATTACTAGGAGGCAGAGGCTTCACCTGCAAAGGATCATCGTTGTTTTGCACACAAAGCATGACACTTCCCACATCCCAGTAAGGCACCATACACAAACATTCCAAGTTTTCCCTCGAAACATTCCAAGTTTTCCCTCGAAACACAGGAAAACGTACTTCATGACTGCTACCGCTCTCACAGCTACTGCATCTCCCAGCTATCACTCCATGCACAGCTACTCTCTCCTGTGAAACACCCCAGGAGTTCAATAGGCACATTAGATTACAGTACCTGGCTTCAGCATCTGCTGTGCCACACGAGCAATGTAGAGGGTTAAGGAGAAGGTAAATCTGAGGTTCTGCCGCCTGATCCCATTTTGCACAGCATCCATGAGATACAGCAACTGCAGCACAAGAAGCCAGGTGAAAAAAGTGCTTGCACCATAACTCAAAAACATACAACAGGAGAGTGGGAATACAGAAAGAAGCTTTTTAGGATATTTCATAGGTCATAAATCAAATGCCAATCCCAACAGAATTATAGGAATTGATAGGAAATCCATTCCTATGAATCAAGTTGCTAAGAATTTCACATTTCACATATTTTTTTCCCTTTTTTCTGCCCACTGATTATAAAACTTTAGCAAACACAAAGGAAAAAGAAACAATGGTATAGAAGATAAAAAGCTTCTTAAAAAAAATCAACACAATAATTTAGCAATCTCATATATATTGGTTTGTTAGAACCGGTAACTGCTGAATCTGAGGTGAGCGTGCACACAGCACAACTGCAGTTTTTTCAATGTCTGTAAGAACACAGATACTGAACGAGGTCCTGCCTGGCTCTCTCACCATGTACAGGTGGACAGATGAGTAAGGCAATGACTTTCCCATAAGAGTCCATGGCCTATAAGGTCTGACCTGACAGAAGTAAACTATCAACCTGTCCCAGTCTTACCTGTTTCTGCTCTCGAAAGCGAGCTCCTTCTAGATGAGAGCGAAAGGAACCCAGTACAAAATATGCTGCTGCTCTCATGTTAGAATCGTAGCTGCTAAGTGCAGCTACTGTTAGACCCAGGGCATTGACTTCTACAAACTTGTGACATGCCACTACACACTCTGTTTGGGAAGAAAAAAAGGGAAAGAAAAAAAGAAAAAAAAGAGAGAGAGGGAGAGAGAGAGAGATAAAACATACAGTACATCAAATTCAGAAGTCAGAGCATGTATGGCACTGTAATCCTTAACAAAACTTCTATTCATAAACATCAACTTCTAGATCTACTCGTATAAATTATGACTATTATTAGTGCAAATGCATATGCTGGAGTCTCCTTCAGCTAACAAAGGCATTCAGCAAATCACTAAACAAGAATTCTTTATTTGAGCTGAAATTAAGCTAGTTAGTTTCAATTATCTGAGATAGATGTGATTCTGCCTGGTAGACCATGCAAAGTTAGAAACAAGTTCTGTAAAGACACTGCGTATCTAACTGTTTAAGGAATGTTTAGCACAAGGAGGAACAAGAGGGAGAATTCTCCTCCTCAAAATCTTTTGGACATTTGATAGTCTGTGCCTGAAAGAAAGAACAGCAAAGCCAATGAAAGCCTATCTGCATCAAATAGCTTCTGTAACAGAACAGAAAAGTGAATAATACTTAAATAAGTCATTAGCCAGGGTAAAATAACCAATCATTATCATGCAGGCATGAACAATTCTGCAAGGTATACGCTAACTGAAGTACAAAGCTGTACCCCTACGCCCTTCTGGAAGAAAATCCAGCAACGAACAGCAACCAACCAAACAGAAAATGCTCCTTGGATTCTAACATATCTCTTCTGTAGCATTTTGTCATCAAGACTGATGGTTTCTCATTTAAGGACTGTGTGTTTTGAAGAGCTTGTGCCATTTCTACCCACTGATAGCTAAGAATGACTTGATGTAAAACCTCCAAATTGTCTCCTGTGCTCACTCTATTCTATCTGTCAGTAAAGACAGCACCTCAGTTGTATTTTACCAGCTAGAGAGCAAACGTACTGCGCTTAAGTTTAGTGAAAATATTCACACGTTTTCTTGTAACTCAAACTAAAGGTCATAAGCAATGTTCCTATTTAAGAAGAGGTTCTAGTCTTATTGACAAGTGCCTCTATTTGGTTCATTGATTTCCTATCCCACCACACACACCCCTAAAAACCAAACAAACCAAAACAAAAAAAACCAAACAAACCAAAACAAAACAAAAAAAAACAAAACAAAAAAAACTCCACAGATTATTTATGCTTCCCCACCAACAGCTGGGCTGTTTCTCTCATCTCTTCCTCAATTGCCAGAACTCCTACTCTAGTCTTCTGCCTAGCAGTTTCACATCCAGCTCTGCTAGTTAAGGACAGGCAACAGCAGGGTCTCAGCCTCCCTATAGTGCCTTACAATCAGCAACACCATTGCTGCATGACCCACGCAAAGGCACCACAAAATTGCAACCAAAAGCCACTCACTGAAAAAATTTAAACGGCTATTTCAATTCTAGCCATTACTGTGCGCTTCCCTACAATTGTCCTTGCCGAAGCATTTCATGTTTAACTAGTGCTATTCAAAACACCTCAGTCACTCTACCAGTGAGCAAAAAGATCCATCCAAATTGTTAGCATGGGATACCAATCACATCACCAGTTTGTATGGATATGGCTCTGTTTCCCTCTACTTTCATGCACTGGGCAAGGCTGAGTGTCAAAGGGAAAGCAAGAGGGGCGTGCAAAAATAGGGCAGGAAAAAGAGAAACCGAGCTCACAGATGCCCAACATATGCCTTTTCCTAGCGTCTGCCTGTGGCAAAGCAACTATGCATTTCCCGCTCCTCAGGCAAGATGCAAGGGTGCAAGCTACGCACAGGAAAAGGAACGCGCTCTGTTCAAACACATATGAGCACGCAGAGATGATCTGAAATTTGCCCGCTTGCAGAGGATTCTCCACCCCTCAAGCGCCAGGGCAGAGAGCCCTGGCCTGTACAACAATCCCTCTTCAGTACACGATCAAATCTTTATTATATGCCCGTTCACAGCAAACCACCACACAGCTCTTCTTCAGAAGGGAGCTCTTGGGAATGGTTGCTGTACGTCAATTAGAGAGAAAAAGTGGATGATTTTCTGGGGTGGTATCACATAATGAAATTCTATGTCCTCACTTCAGCAGTAAAGTTCACGCTGGTCACAGAAAGGTTTATTTGGAAAACTTTCTTTCACTGCAAACAAGTAATGGAAATATTTTCCATCCAGTTGACCTTGGAGAATGTGTTCGGCAACTAACATAAAATAACAAGCTATTATTAAAAAAAAGTTAATTTTATGTTTGACATACGGTTTGTTTAAAGAATCCTGAGAACCATGATGGAAAAGCTTTCCACAAGATGCTTATCAGAGCTAAAGTTAGACAGAACTCTCTATCTGCCCAACACCAGGCTTACTTTGTACTCAGTGAGCATGAAGCACTGTGTAATAAGTCTATGTTTATAAATTCAGTAGTTATATAACATCTGTGCACAGGACACTGTATAGACGGTATAAAGAGCAAATAATGACCAGAAGAATTGGGATTTCCAAAAGCAGCTGACATGGTTTAGGAATACTATGGGATTTGAACTCATAAATTGTTTGGGACCTTTAAAAAATGCCCTCCTTAGGATTACAGACTCTCACTCACTGTGGAACAGTTCACGGACCTGCTTCCCCCTCCCCAGTCTGTGACTCAGCCTGTGCTGGGAGAGCCACCGCCTCCACAGCTCAGCACGAACACAGTGTGCAAGAGCTCCCTCGGCCCTGCCAGTGCACAAGCAGACAGTCTGGCACAAACCCTCGATGGCTGACTACGTGACTGCCAAAGCTGACCAACAGTCACCTAATCCCTATTGCCAGATGAGGCAGTGACCTCCAGATGGTGGGTAACGGCAGGCACATGACAACAGTGTTTTTCTGCTATTACATCTAGGTTCAAAAGACACTGTCTGCCCATGCTCTTCATCAATAACAGTCCCAAAGACCCAGCATAACAGGATCATCTAAGATCAGTCGTACTGCAAGACCCCAAACAGTTCTGGTACCTTTCTCAGTAAACTAAAAGTTTATTTTCAAACTGTTATTTCTGTAATTTTAACAGTTCTTTTTCTTGCTGTCAAAATTACACAGAGCAGCTTGCAACTACATCTAAAAATAGGCTAAGAACACACCAAACAGGTACTGTACTATAATGGCTTAGGTGAACAAAGAAGGACTGCAAGTGTGATTTCACTGAAGACAGTTACCAGCCTGCCAATTGCTGGTGATGCTATTGTTAGGGAAAACAACATCCAACTGTAACAACACAGTGATTATCCATGATCAACATATGGAGGGAACTGGTCAGACAATTCCCCATGATACATTTCTCGTTTGATCTTAAGTGTTATCTAAAGAGACAGCATACACGTGAAATACAGCAGGGATGCACACGCGAAAAAGGGTCACGTCAAACAAGAAAAGCGAGGCTAGGCAGGTAGTTTTCAGCATCGCGTAGATATCATCGCTTTCCATCAATTCTGAGCACTGGCATATTCATGACACAACAACCCGAAGTATATCTGATGGAAAATGAGCCGGCCGATGTTTCCCCTCAAGCAGGTAGGACCACGACATCCTTAGCAAGCGAGCTGCTGGCAAGCTAGTCTGACTTGCAGAACATACACGGCAAGGCTCAGCAGCACAAGTGGTGGTAACTGGCTGTTACCTGTACAGGCCCACCATTGCTTTGATCTCTTTTGCCCTCATTCACTCAAATTTCTGGGCATTATCAGCTCCTTTGCTCCCTTCTCTCAAGACAAAAATACTGAGGTGCGGGGCAGGAGCTAACCCACAGCCTACAGCAGGTCAGATGCTCTGTCAGTTCAGTGACAGGGTCTGTCACATAAACCAGCATCCCTCCAGAAATTAACTCCAGTTAATATAACAACCTCGCCCTTCCCTGGTAATGGTGGCTTCCATTTTACGCCCAGAGACTTCCCTGAACGCTGCAGAGCACGTTCACCACCCTGCCCCATCTCTGACCAACTACTATTGAAAACATGGCAGGAGCTGACTACTGCTCCCAAAAAACTCAGCCACCTGGGCACAAAGCAGCCCCAGATCACAGTAGTCCGATCAACTGCTGGTGTGGTACTGTGTGTACCGGTAGTAGGCACCGTCCCTTCAGCGACTGTTTTGCTCATCATGATGTGACACCAGGGCTGATGCAGGATACAACTCCCTACACCTTCACCAGAGAAAATACAACCCTCCAGTGCGGAATATTCTCTGCTGATCACTCTTTCACTATTTTACAATTGTTTTGTGCTGGGGTTTTGGGGTTGTTTTTTTTTTTGTGCTATACAGAATAATTTTCAACAGATCAAAGAACATCAATCTTTGCCTACTTTCTGTCTCTACCAAGCTGTTTACAGTTCCACTTTAAGCATCTCTCCTCATCTTAAGCACAGCAGTTCATCTACATAGGGTTAACCCATTACATTTAAAAGAGCTATGTGGGAGCACCCAGGCAAGAGAAGCTTGGTAGGTATGCCCCTCTGCTGCTACATTGCACTGAGTACCCAAGTCTCACTAGAAATACTGCAGTATCTGCAAAAGTGCTTTAAAAAAATGACTTTAATTCCAGTTAAGCCTACATATTTTTAAATCATTCTGAAAATTACAATGCTATGCAGTAGGTGGTTAAACGAAGGATGTATTTCTTCTCTCTAAAGCCAGGCTCGTTATTTCTTTGTCGTATTAATTCTTAAGACTGAGGATAACAGCTACAGATGAAGCCATGCAGCCCCCACAACAGAGTAAAATGACAAAAAAAAAAAAAAAAAAAGTGAAAGAGGAGTATTCAATTTACCTGGTCTTGTCAATTCACTGAAGAGCTGAAGCAGAAAACAGGGATCATAGAAGTCATCGAGACTCTTGACACTTTCATCTCTATACAATGACTCTTGCTCCTCCTGAAGCCAAATCCAAAAGAGGACTTTGTAAGGAACAACACTGATTTCCAGGCTAGTTTCAAACTGCTCCAGTCACCTCATTCCATTATTCAGCAGCTGACATTAAACTCTACAAAATATAACTATAACACAAGGCAAGGCATCCTTGAGGCTAAATTTGGCTTTTATCATCAGGGTTGCAAAACTATTTTCCCTGACCAGCATGAACTGATACATACACATATTAGCAAACTGCATGAAAGATTAAAGAGCCTGTTGCCAGCCAAACCTTGGATAGTCAAATTTAACAACTGTATAAAAGTCAAATTCTGGTCTCAGTTACACATGGCAATCTTGGTGGTGCTGCACGATCACACCTGCACACAAGATGTGGCCTGTATACTGTAACTCATTTGAAAAATAATTTTTTTTCATTTCTCTCCCAGTGTAAACACAGTGCAATATATTACACTAATACAATAAACAAATGACCAAAAGAAGGAGAGTAAATCAGCAGTCTAAACCAAAGCACCTTCGATGGCAGAAGATGGCGATGCTGAGGGAAAGATAGAACTGTCTTCATCATCTTTTCTCGATCTAGCAGACACAGAATCTCCTCCATGGTTGGCTGCTGCCATAGTGACTTCCCCAAACTTTTGCAAGTCTTGTGATGCTCCACCGCTGCTGGACCCCACAGCAGGATCCTTAGACATTGTTAAAAGTAAAGCCATTAGTCAACAGACTGTTAGCAGAGAGCAAAAACCAATTAGAGGGGATATAAATTAGTACTTAAATTTTCTCTTCACTTGTACTTATTATCTTGTGGGGACTTGAAACTAGAACTTGTTTCCTTGGCAACACCTTTCTCATCCATCCAAAATCTTTTCAAATTCAGTCTGAGGGTGTCTCGTTAACTATTTCCTACCTCGTTAATCCAAGTCAGAACTTACCTTCTCAGAAGGCCTTTTTATTTAAACTATGAATGTGGGTAAGTATGACAGCAGTTGCATGAAGAGACAGCGATCAAGACTTGAACAAACAAGGATGTCTCAAATACAACTGATATTTAAAACCAGCATCACAATGCTTCAGTAAAACAAAACTCCTCAATCTCCTCCTCCAAGTTACGTCTTAAAACCCATTTATTTTGCTATTGTGCTTGAAGGGCTATTGATATAGTCATTTACTATGGCGTACTGCTAGCAACACACCTCACTGTCAGCAAGGCAGTTATCACTCAGAGCCTGAAGGCTCAGAACTTGAACACAAGTTGGATCTGCTAGCCTGAACAGTGTGTTTCCTGAACGTGCTCTACATTCACTCAAATTGAACTCCAGTGCTGGGATCAAGTCTAGCTAAGTGTCCAGCTACTAATTCACTTCAGACTACAGGACAAAATTGTTTCTCTTTTTAAAAGACTAGAAGGGTTTGGGGCCCTAGTTACCTCTGAAGCCAGTCTCTCCTCACATAATTCACTAGCATTTGCAAACACTTTCAGCGAAGACCTATGCAGGATGCAGCTAGCACCAGAGCCCTTGCTTCTGGAAGCCACTCTGACTCCTAGCTAACAACGATCTTCACTTACTGTCCTCTGTCATATACTGCAAGGACTATCTATGTTTTCAGACAAAGCCAAGAGAGGAAAACAGGTTCTTAACCTAGAGTCCAGCCTTGCTCCAACTGCCCGAGCCAGAACTCTTGCACTTCTATTAATGTTAACGCCCATACCGCAAAAACAGAAAAATACATTTGAGCAAGGCAGAGCAAAACCATCAGTCTCTGTAACAACTAATTGTTCACGACAGACTTCCCCGTGGACTGTTTGGGCGCAGGGCCTGAAAAGTAACTGGTCTTCCTATCCAAGACTTGGCCCTTTCTTGTGAAGCACGTAGGTATATGGGAAGGTAGTCCAGTAAGGAGAACTGCAGTCTGGCCTAGTGAGAGATGAAGTGCTGGTACCCCATTAGTTTCCCAAATCTAACTGTACAGACGTTGATGCAAGAGGTTATATATCCCTCAGCTACTGGTGCGTGTCTCTTCTCTCCAGCAAATCACCAGAGCAGAACATCACGCGTACAGGGCAAGAGTACTGAAGAGGGCAAAGACTGTGCCCAGTAGGGAATCCTGTATCCTACGGGAACAAACAAGGAGAAGCAGTCCTACAGCCAACTTGTGCTTTGGCCTTTACCTGCAATTAAAATGCCAGAGAGGGTCTTTACTGCCCGCTACAGAGAGCGGGTGACTCCTGAAATGAGAAGGCCCCTCACTCAACCCACAGCCACCCCCAACACTGACCCCTTGTCCAGAAGTTCGGGTACTACATTAAGCATTATGTTTTGTCTGCCCATACAGATTTTAAAAAGATACAAAAAGATACAAAAAAAAAAAAAAAGCAACATCATCTCTGGGCTTGACGTGAGTGTTTATCTCAGTTAAAAATAAGACCCTGAGAACACGCAAATCATGAGACTGCTTTTTTGCATATAAGCAGTCAAATACTGGAAAGTGGTCAACTTACCTGGAATTTATAAGACTTTGATTATTCTTCTCATATAACTGAAGCAGCAACAATATCTTCTGATCTAAAAATCAACACGAAACCCCAAAATCAGTCACTTGCGAAGCTGAAAAATGGATCTAGTAGAAAACCCTTCCCAGGCTGACGCACTTACCTACAACACTCAGCGTAGCCCCATAGGCACCCAGCAACACAGCAAGGTGACTGCTCTCACAAACAGAGGGGCTGAGTTTCACAACTGTCAGCAGTATATCCACCAAGGCTTCTGAAATAAACACAATGCAGGTTTTGCTTTGCTGCTCTCTCAGTTAGATAGTATGTATAAACATACGCAGGCACACACGCTCCCTCTCTCTCTACACATACATATTCACTATATACAATATATATATACTGCTGAATATAGTATATCACATTTTAGATCAAGATCTACCTTTATTAGATAAATATCACAACGCATTTCTCTGACCATACTAAAGGATCGATATGATGCAGTTAATTCACGTGGAACAACTTTTTTGAAGACGTTAAAGCCTTTATTTTATAACCGAGAAACAAACCAAGTGACTGGGTTGCTCAAGGACAAACAGGATGTTTGTGGTAGACTCAAGAACTGAATCCAGATCTCTTTATCCCCAGTATCTAAAAAGGCAATTGTTTTCCTCCTCCAGTATCTACCATAATACATCACATGTCAAAACAAAACAGATCAAAAAGACAGCAGCTTGAATGAATGCACTATTGATACCAGTTTCTAAATTACAGAACTTAGCCCCAAAGATTCTGCCTTCTTGCTCTATATAAAAACATTCAGATGGCAGTACACAACAAAATCTATTACTTATTTCTGTAAATTTGTCTCTTCACAAGAGATTTTTGCTCTTTTCAGGTGATTTAAAACCTTGAAGTTTGTTTACATATTGCTCACTGATATACACAAAATTTGTTATCAACATGCTGTGCTGAGAATTTCCTCTCATTTTCTAATAAAGCTCCTTCAAATGCTAAATCTCAAAGCACTTTGAGAGAGGAAAACTGAGGTGCACAATAGGTTAAATGACTGGTCCGAGGTCAGGCAGTATTTCAATTGGCACAGACAAAGAAACAAAATCTTATCCTACATATAGGCTAAGACTCATTTGTATTACTCATGGAAGGATATTTCTCATGAAAGGTTACACTATCAAATACACACGGTTTAATTTAACATTTTAGATAGAGTTTGCAAAAATCAATTTAAAATCTGCTGTGCCAACCTATTTTAAAATGAGATTTAAAACTTTGTCACGACCGTTTTAGTAGAAGCTACAGGCACTTCAGTGATCCTTTACTACCAGCCTTACTGAAACGAAAAGAAATAAGATTTCAGTTGGGGGGGGGAGGGGGAGCTTATTAGTATTTTTAGAAGACTTGACTGTCAAAACAGGTAGCCATAAAATGAACGCAACATTTGAATTCAAGCAGAGGCACAATTTGCAACTAAATGATAATATTCTGGAATTGCTTAATAGCTCTGCAAATACAGGTAGGTGGATAGGTTACTGGATGGATAGAATATTATGTTGAAAAAGACAAGATTACTAAATACAGTTAAGGAGGAGAAGAAAAAAGAAAAGAAAACCTCTCGTCTGGATGTTCGTGTCGTTGTCTTCTCTTGACTTCAGCATGGTTGACAAAAATAGAGAGTGTTGCGTGACCATCATGTGAAGTTTGGAGAGCTTGACTAATCTCTGACTAAGTGTGGATTTTTTCTTGTATAATAACTGAATAGCAATACACAGGGCTTTCAAAAATGCTTCATCTCTGTAACGGTACCTTTAGAAGCAAGGATGACAGAAAAGTTAGACACCAAACAAAAAGAAAGCTACTTAAAAATCTGCTTAAGAAATTAGAACCTTGCAAGCAAAGCAAACTTAGAAAAATCAAACCAAACTAAACAAACAAGCAAAATGAACATGCATGCACCTCTTCCTCTTAGCCTTCTCGATTTAGTTCTTTTTACTCAATACTGATATCTTAATTATCAAAACAAATAAGAAATAACACACTCACACTTGTAGCTGCACTGAGCTTTATAAAGGGTTAGAATTTTGCCTGCAGATTAACACTTTTACTTCCACAGAACCTAAGATTTATCCTAAGCTACCACTTCAATTGTTTTATCTTGTTGAAACGATTCACACTTAAAGATCAAATAGCTGATTCTGATTTCACGTGAATTATATTTCAGAAATACCTTAAGTAAAAAGTAAAGAGTTACATGAGCATAAAGCCTCTCATACCAATCAAGAAGCAGCCGGTCCAGCTATCTGGTATGTTACCTATGCTAACTGGAACACAAAATTCAAATCTGCCTGCAGTTGTACTGGTGCAGGCTTCAGTGAAGCCAGTGGATGTGACATAAAGCTCATTCTAAGCAGCAAGGAGCATTCTCAAATCTGAGTAAATTCAAGGGAGATGGACTGTTTCCAGTATAACATGGGACCAGGCCATGGGACCAGAACTGTACCTCCCACAGCATCTTTGGTGCACCTCAAAGTTACTTACTTGAGTCCTGTCTTTACAAGGCTGTACCAGTCATCTGGGTCCACTTCTTCAACAAAGTGCTGTGCACGGAGTAAATAAAAGCAAACGTTTACATGTAGCACACAAAGTTTCCACAGATCGTCAAGATCAGCACTTTCTGTTCAAGACACACCTACAACACGCGAGCCAAACACTCAGGCAGGAGGATTAAGGGGTAACAGAAAAAAAGCTACAGCAGTCTTGCATCCTGATGCAGATGAAATTGCAAGCCTTGTTTTGTCAGTCCCAGGAACAAGGGAGCAAATGGGGTCTATGCAATTAAAAAGCAAGTTGGTCTCTAGGAAGCAAAGAACTCCAGTTTTGAAACTTTTCACACTCCCAGACTGTGAAAGGAATAAACTCTTTGCAAGTCAAAACAAGAGACTGCTGCTCAGATACTAGACAGTTTTCCATGAACCTACAGTGTGCTTCCGCTAACGTTTGCTTGTGGAAAACAGACATGGTACCACATGAGCTGGATGTTCATGTTTAGGTGAGCTGGATGTACACCTTCTTTACTAAAACTGGTCTTCCTTGAAATACTTTAGATCACAGTAAACAACACTTAGTTTTAAGGAGGATGACAGCTGCACATGCCAGAACTCCCAGTAACAGCAGGTGCTAACCTAGTCAGGCCTGCAGATGCAATCAGGATTAACAACAGAAGACGGCCCCTCAGTTCTCACAAGACTACTCCTCCAAAATCAGTCGGATCCTTCAAGCGAATGTGTTGGCAGAAACCAGCAAGAAGTCAAAGGTGTTCGCTGCCTGCAGAGTCTTTCATTTAATGTCTCATGACATAGACCTATCTACCTTAACCAAGTTACAACCCTCCCCAAAACACACCCCCCAAAAAAAGAACCAAAAAGAAAAACAGGTACAGAAGAAACAATCAGGTATGTGTTATTTATGATCACAGTCAACTGGATTTCTGTCGTTGACTTCAGAGGGCATGGTAAGTAGGCCCTGTCAGAAGTCTACCTTTTGGGTTTTTTTTTTTTTCCTCCCTCCAAATTTATCAGCAAGCTTTGGTTTTTAACTCAGGAACACCTCAAACACTGATTTTCAAAGGCAATTTTAGCATAAAGTCAGTCTCAAAAACAACTCAAAACTGCTTCTTATAAAGGACTTCCAAGGTGAAGTTAATTCTGTAAAAGCTATTAAAAGCCATAGAAGCCATTATCTATTTAAAAAAAAAAAAAGAAAGCCTCCACATGTATTTACACAAGATACAAATACAAAAACACACAATAGCAAACATCCACACAGTCACAGCTCTGAATGCTGGCAACACAGATAAAAAGTCTCACCAACAATTCTTCCAGCTTCAACAGCATAGACCTCTCTGCCTCTTGCTTGCTCTCTTCTTTACTCCCGCTGTACATGACAATTAATCCCTTCATGCAGGCTGACAACAGGCGTTTCCTCCAAGAATGCAGCTCTTCAGAGTTTTCCAGCACTCCAGATATGGCATCTGCCACAGTCCAACTGCAGAAAGTTTTTGCTGATGTTAAAACATGCTTTTTGCATCTTACGGCTGTTTTGCTGCCAACCTTCAAGTGACAGAATCTCAAAAGAAGGTATTACCATTTCAAGGTATTTGCATCCATGCATACCTATGTCAGTGCTTTATGAGACAGACTTTTTTCTATTCATGACAAATACTGATGCAGAACATGGCAACTAGATTTGCCTACCTCTCATGATTTTCTGCCTTCTCAAGAGCAGCGGGGAGCTGGTCAATAAGATTTTGCAGCCATTTGCTTTCTGAAGATGGCAACAACTTTGAAAGAACTTGCAGCTTCACCGTGATCTCATGTGACGCTTCTGCGGCTGCCACTATGGTGGAAAGCTCCTTCCACAGAGCTTTTCTCAAGACAGGTATAACACCTGAGACAACTGTTGGGAGAGAGCAGGGGGCAAAACACATATAGTTGTAAAAATCCCAAACGACCTCTTCTCATCACACCCCAGATTACTTAGGTTCTAGGAAATTATATGGAATAGTTACTAATTTTCTACACAAAAAAGCACACTGTATTGCTCTGTAACACCACTAGGAAGCATTTAGCATTTATACCAGACACCAGTTTGCCACATAGTTAAAATGACTAGACATGGGCAAACAATGCAAACCTCTGAAAGAGGGATGACTTCCTGATAAGAAGCCCTACCCTTGCAGGTTAGGAAGGATGAAATCTTCACCAGCGCTCTGACCCTGGATTCGAAGGAAATTCTCTCACAACAACAGACAGCTAACAGGTACCTGACAAATCAAGCCAGTTAGCAAAAAGCTAGCAGTTTAATCTTCTAGTGTTCAAGCTTGAAACCACTGGTCTGAAATAGATGCTGGAGGAAAGCTTAATTCCCTACCCATCCTCCACTTTCTTGTGTGCTGATGAGATCTCTTCACTACTTGGATTCCTCCTAGACAGAGCTTGCCTTCCCCACCAAGAGCTACAGTGCCTGTTTCTGTTGCTGTTCATATTTCTATGCGATAAGAGAAATGAAACCAAAGTGATTCTGTTCAGCAGAATCCTAGCTTATAATTGGGTTGCAGAAAATCTAACAGCCTTGTCAATTTAAAGCTGCTGTTGGTTTGGAGAGTTTTGGACTGTATGCTGACTTTGGAAGGCATTACTACAGCAAGTTATATTTGGAGATTTATTTTAGAAGAAAGTTCTGGACTCTTACACTTTTAAGAGTTAAAGATGGCAGTCTGCAAAACCGAATGGCTAAGGCATTCCACTCACCACCATGGGCAAAGTATTCCAACTATGCCCATGAAATAAAGTTTCTACTCCTATAGTAAAGTGAATACATAAGTACGAGGACAGGTTTTTACATGTGCTAAGGAAGGCGCTAATAAGGGTGTAAAAAAAGAAATGGGCAACAGCAACCAGTAGAGCACTTCAGTCAAACAAACTTAATTGCAATCTATTAACTTTTATGCTGCAGAGACACTTAAAAAATAGTCATTAGAAGTCAGAAAGCCAACTTTTATCAGCTCTACTTATTGCGCAGATGGATCCTAGATTTTAAGGCCAGAAGAGCTTAAACAGAGAATTTGGCCTGACCTCTGGCAACGGAAACAGCATTTCCAGCACTTTTCATTGAGATAGAGCAATTACTTCACACTCTGGCTCATTTCTCACTCAATGACTAGGCGAGGGAGAAGCACACACAAGCTGATCATGGAACCACATTAAACAGTAAGAATTAAAAAAAAAATGGCAAGAGGGTCCAGGAGACTAAGAATTTTTTCCAGCTTGACTGTGGTCCACTGGTTCAGGAAGCTGCTAACCTAAGCGCATAAGGCCACAGGTCATGTTATGGTAGTTGTAATATCTTAAATGCTACTTCTGAAGTTTAGCAGAAAATGTTTGCTTTCAAATTGTTTACAATTAGCATTTACATGACAAATAGAAAATATATACATATTTGTAACAGCAGCAGACAGCACTGTGAAGTGCTGAATAATCAGTTAGTTCATATTTATGATTCATTTCACTAATATTTCAACAGATAGGTTTAAAAACTTGTTTAATGCCTTCCAGTTTCTCCTCCTTGACTCACATGGGCACACAAAAGATTTTTTAGACAAGAGAATCGCACGCATCTCGTGATTTTAAGAAGCAGAGAAATTCAGCACTTGTATAAAATAGAAAAAATTTGTGACTACAGAGATTTGTGTTTAACATCACAGATTTACAAAATATCTGAACATCTAAACATCACATGACCTCAGATCCATTAATATCTCTTAAGGTTTATCCTAGTGATGAATTTAAGATATTAGGATAGTAACATTCCCTGGCAGACTCTGCTAGGTAAGTCACTTTATCTGAGGCACAGTCGCAAAAATAACCTCTTAAAAAATCCTTCTAAATAATATTTCTTCATGAATATGGATCAGTTGTGGCTTTACCTGCGGAAGGTCGGGTGAAATCATATTGCTCTCTGTATTGCAAATACACATTCACGAGTGGAAGAAAGCTCTCCATGTTTTTCCTGAGATACTTTTCAGTGGCACAGCTTAGACACCACAGCTCAAACTGTAGCAGGTGAGTCCTACAGTGTTTTATCAGCACAGCCACAATGGCAAGGGAGGTTTCTGATCCCTGGGTAAGGCAGTGAACGTGCACCTCCACATCGACTGCATGTGTGAATACCGGCTCTCTTTGGAGAGCCTGCAGGAAAACTTTCTCCAAGTCTTTGCTGGCTGATACTGACATCAACATTCCCAAAGCTTTAATGTGCTCTGTGGATAGCAGTAGTTCTCCTCTTTGGGGCTGCCTCTGGTAGCTCCCTGTGAGGAGCTGCACCAAAATCTGTCCGTAGAAGCTCAACTGTTTCCCTTTTTTGGGAGATTTTTCAGATTTCTGAGTAGTCAAGCTTGTCTCTGGGAGTTGCAGCATAGTTAAAGTAATCTCTTTTAGCTGAGCTGCAGCCATGTACACATGCAACTCCTGTAGAGCCTCCAGTTGGTGAGACTTCTTAGGAGGCAGCCGATTTCCTTCTTTCCCCACAGCCTGTAGCTCTATCAAGATACTTTTCGTGATAGCTTCAAAATACTTTGATAATACATGTATGTGATTCATGCTCTGCAACACTGGGGCACCTGTTTTCAGCAGCTGCAGCACCCCAGAATTGAGATGAGCTGACAGGAGCTTCACAGTCACGGGGTTTAAGTTGTGCTGAGGAAGAGAACGTCGTTCTAAAGCCAAGAACCAGCTCTCCAAAGTAGGATGTTTGAAAATCAACATGAGCATATCTTCTAATGTCTGTAACAAATGGTTGCAACAATATCACTGAATGGGTAATCATAGCGTAGAAGAAATCATTCATCTGCCCATCTCGCACAACATGCTTATTACAATCACTGGACATGAAATTGTCTATAAATCGGTCAGAGGATAAAGTTGTTAATAATTTACAAACACATAATTGCAGTTATTCCAACATTTATGATGTGGGAGGCATGCATTCATTCTGTTATAGAAAATAATTTGCACTTTTACCAACCTTAAGCAACATCTCATAATTATTCCTTGGAATGTAAGTCAGACTAATAGATTTCTGGAATAACACAAACCATTTTCTCCTTTTGTTCATTCATAGGAACACAAACCAAACAGCAAAATGAGTGAGGAACAGTTCTGCTGGGATACCAGCTCCAAGTCACATTTCCTCAATATTGCTGTAGGCATTACAGTCATATGACAGGACATTAAGCGTTTCTCACATGTCTAAGCCCATTTCCAGGGGAAAACTGTATATTCTGAGATGCATCAATACAGTTCCATTCTAATCTTCATAAAGCCACAGAACAGATGAAAAAGGGCAAAAATCCACTCCTCCAAGTACATAATTTGGATAACCAGGCTTTATACAGGGCTTAGCAAAATAGAGTTTTTTTTCTTCAAAAGTTAGCGACCTCTGGCATGGCCTGTCTTGGCTGTATTATAGCTCAGGGATGAGACTGTGGATGCTGCAGCTTGGTCACGTCTCCACGGAGCAGTTTCGTAACTCCTGGATAACATTCTCAGAATTCATGAGTCCTTCTCCTGGACCTTAATAGCATCTCTCTGCATAAACCTGTTTCCATTCAATAGACCTCTGTGAAAAAACACAGTGTGTATCCTTTTGCCTCTCCAGCCCTTCTGACACCTTGGCAAAAACTATAGCAATGCTTCTACAAAGCAATAAAAATCTATTCAAGCCCCTTCACAGTAAGTGCATGACAAACACACTGCAATCCTAACCGAAATCCCTGAAATTCTCTGCTAGTTCCTTTGTTTTCTGTCACACTCTGCTGTGTTTCAGTGAGAACAGTCAGTCAGCTTCATGCTTTGGTGATCAGTGAAAATAAAACGTCAACATAATTTGTGCTCAGAAACCACTCATTTCTAAAACTGCTTGCTTTAGTAAATGCTTCAGCAAAACTCATGGATATTTTCCCTAGAGAATAAATCAAATCAAAGGTTACTAACATGTGACACTAACAAGTTTACTAACATCGGCCTGTCTATCAAGGGATTTTGTACCTTGTCATTTGAAGACTCCACTGTAATCAGAGCTTCCACGTCCATAAACAGATCTGATTCAGTCTGAACCTCTTCTTGCTTCTGCCGATTATCCAGCTCCATTTGATTACCCTGGCACAACAAGCTGCTCAGCAGGTCCACATAGAGATGGAGAAGGTGAGGACCAGAAGTTTTACTAAGCTGTGAAAACACAGACACCTTGGAAGTTGAGAAAAGGAGGGGGACAGAAAGCTCCAGAATGCAACAATTACAGGAATTAATTAAGAGCTTCCTAGAATATAACCTTTCTGGGAGAAGAAACCCCTCTTTCACAGTAGAAACCTGAGACTTTTCTTAAAATCAAGATGTCAAGCAAACATTTAGAGATTTTTATGCATGTTCATGACTTCCTGTATAACACAGACTGACAAATATCACTCTCCAGAAAGGCGTCTGATGGAGACCCAAGAGCTGGATTAATACCTGGAGTTTATTTGCACTACACATCATACACAAGTCAGTAATGGCAACCCACTGAAAGTAAATCAAAGACTCTTCAGCAGTCAGAAGGACAGGTATTTGTTTACAAATTAGGTGGAGTTTTGCAGGTGCTCTACAGCCTCAGTGAAAAGTGAGTATGTGAAAAAGCTGCAGAACGGGATCCCTATGCTTAATAGCCAAGTTATTTGTACTTGCTGCATTACAATAAAACAAAAAGTCCACAAAGTCATCAAAACATTGCTCTTACACTGCCAAAGTTCTCCACTGTGGATTTTAGGCACAGCAACACATGCTTTACTCCCAGCAAAAGCTGTTCAGGTGGGAGACGGGAAGCCAAGTCTCTCAATTTTGTCTGGATGTCATCTTCCATTAAGGTACTGCTTCCTCTCTCATAGGCTTTCTTCAGCAAAGTGGTAAACACAGAATCTAGGGCCACAGCAGGTTCTTTGCATACCTCTTTGCATTGTTTAAACTGCTTAAAATGGAAAGAACACAGGAGAAAACAAGTTTAAGCATATTTAAGTATTTAAGAGTATTACTCAAAAGCTTTTTCAGTCACCCCTGCTACGAAGTGAGTTCTATGCTGGATACACATGCAGAACCCCAGACTGATGCTCATTTCTACTACAGGAGCACATGTGTGCAGGCTCACAATCACAGAGCTAGTCAAAGGTGTCCCATGGGAAATCTGCACACAGTCACCGCTTGGTTAACACAAAAGCACAGCAACCCCAGCACAAATTGTCCAGGCATTTTCAGCCCACGCCTGGGCGAACTCCAACCAGCTTATACCAGGCTCCTTCGGCTAGAAGAAAGTGGCAGCACTCCTACATCATGCCCCACTGTGCCTACTGGGGAATAACAAGGGAGCTGTTGCTTGGGCGATGGCTTAGGACCCTTGAGTCTTGGCTTCACTTCCCAATCACAGCACAGATTTCTCGTGTTGTTAAAGAAAAGGCCTTCAGCAAATTCACGTCCCCTACTGTGATCATGAAGCAACAAAGATTTAGCCTAATCTAAATGTACTTTCTGACAGAAACGTAACCTTCGTACACTGTGTTTTTAATAGTTCTGACTCAAACATTCCAGTGACTCCAAGCACTCCATACCACAGATTCCCGAGTTTGCTGGGGTATCCAGAGATTATAGTATCGGTTAAACTGGTAGAGCTGAGGATACTTAGAAACTTTCAGGGACTGGAGATCTTTATCATAGAGCTGGAACATCAAGCAGAGAGCAAGGGGATCTCTCTGAGAGTGCAGGAGGTCAGTGAAAACAGCAACAAGATATTCTACGATGTGTGCTCCTACAAAAGCAAAACCAAAAATTAAACTTTTGTTGACAGAAGGAATCTGCATAAGCACAGACACTAAGACCACTCTCTTTCCTTCAGGCCTGGACAACAGTGTTTAAATATTACTAATTTTAAAACTATTGAAATGAATTAAAAAATGTGTGATAAGCTAGACAAACACTCCTGAGTCACTGAAATACCTGAAAAAAACCTCCATACAGTAGTCGTTGGTGAAGTATATAATCAACCCACTGCAGGATACATACTTAGCTTAGCCTCTTCCTTCAAAACACACATAAAACTAACTCTGTCTTAACTGTTTGCTATACTCGTCTGTATTTTGACCAATACAGATCCCAGCCCAGCAGCCTAAAAGAGCTAATCTGATCTGTATTGAGGGGAACACAATCAGGTTAACATGCACTGGTTAAATACGGAGGACTTGCCTTTCAAAACTGTGAAAGGTCCACCCCAGGAGCTACTCAACAGCCAAATATACACAGGACTTAGAGAGGAGTGCCGGAGTTGGCAAAGCACAGAGATCCTGCTCTGAGGCCAACAGCTGCCCCCATGACTTCACTCCACTAGATCCTTTTCTCAAGTAAACGGCCAGAACTTGGCAACATTTATCCCTGAAGCGAAGATTTTCTTTGGAAAACTCATCTATTTCCTACATATTCAGCAGTCCAGTCCTCTCTCTCCTACTAACTGATCTCAACAGGAGAGCTAGCTATTGTTTACTAAGCACAGCTGTCGGAACCACTTTCCTCTCACGATTTGCATATTCTGTGCTTAAAGGCTTTTATTGAAGCGCAGCTGCCATTAGGCTGAGGCTCTCCTTACAGGGACACTGCCTCTGCACTGGTCCTCAGTCCCCTCTGTGCTGTGCTCAGAGCGGGTCTTTGCCCCATCTGGGGTTACCCTCGTCCTCCACCTCTCTGCATCTTGATGGAGAAATGTGTGCTCTCTTGTTCTGACCTTGGCAAATTTGCTTTCCCATCAAGTTCCCCCAGAGTCAAGTGGAAATTATAGAGAGCCCTCATTTCCATCTCTCTTCCTATTCTAGGAACCACGGGAGAGCTTCTCTAGGGTCAGGAGAAAAGGATAGAGGCACCTCATAAACTTTAATGATTCTCTTCAGCAGGGAACACACTGAATCCATGTCTCCTTCTGCTCGAATGGGAGAGAATAAAATGTCCTCAAGTGTTCACTGGGTAAAAGTGATCCAACTTCCACCCTCAAGGATATTATATAGAAACACAAATATCTGTACCTGTTTCATTTTCAGTCTGAAGCAACAGTTTATTCCTGGCTTCTAATGCAGCAGGGACAACAGCACTAAATGGAAACGTTTGGATAACAGTGTCTTCATTTAAAGTGAATCCAATTTCTTCATCTAAGCCATCGCTGCCCTCAACTAGGACATCCACCATATCCAGGACATCTATTAAATGAAAGAAAAATGTAAGCAGAAGATTCAGACAAACCAGAAAGCCAAGGAGGGTCGAATGCAACACTTGAGGATTACGAGGCTGCTTCTGAGTCTCTGAAGCAGAAACAGGACAAAAAGACATGTTCGACTAGCTCCTAAATGCAACTGTAAGATCAGCTGCTCACACAGTGTGCTTACCTTAAGGTTTGGCTTTCAAAACTGCTGTCCAACTGACAGGTATATCACCTACTGCTATCACGATGGCATCAGGTAAGCACCATCAGAGCATAACGGTGACAGGAAATACACAGGGGGAAGTAGGAATGAAGCAGCTACTTCTGCATAAAGAGAATTGCCTAGGCAGCCCTTGAAGAACACCCCAGTTCTGTAAGACCAGAGAACCAAACCTTACTCCGGAAGGAGTCAAAGACAGCTTTAATATATGAACAAGTTACCATGTATTTCATGGTTGGCATTAAGTGTCTGTAATAGAGTCAGCCCAGGGCTACTTATCCATCTGGTACTGAGTGGTAAGCTACCTCAGTTATCTTACATTTATGTAACTCAAGATCCTATGCATGGACTGTTATAGCAGGAACAGCTAGCACATGGTAAGTTGTGCAAGTGTACACATCTGCAATGTCCTGATTTTGCCTGCAGCAGGGCTGTGACCGGTCCCTGAAAGCAGGAGGAGCAAAATTCCAGCTGTTTGCACAGGAGTAAAGAGTTCCCCGGGCACTCCAGTCCCTTCTTTACAGATGCAAGGGGATGAGCAGCTCCAGAGAGAGGAAGTGCAACAGATTTCACTTTAGTTAGAAACTGGATCAGTTAGAAACTGTAGAAACATACAGGATCCTAAACAGAGATCCTAAAACACTGTTAAAACAGCATAACTGCATCAGAAATTACTTTCTAGGGCAGACATAACTTTCCAATTCAGACGTTGGTTCCAATACCAAACATGCAGTGAGAAAGTAAACCCTGCATTTCCTTATATTAGCAGGATTGCTATGGTTACAGTTGGCAGTTTGCCTGACCAGGGCCAGAAGATTTAGCATGAGGCCTTGAAATTCCGTGTTGCTGTGGGAATCGCCACATACCATCAATGTGAGAGATGGGGATGCTGACATTATCGGAGTCTTGTTTAAACATATGAACTTGGAGCATACTGGCCTCCTGAACAAGGT